AATCTGAGGTGAATATTCTGTATGGTTAAATAAATAAGAAATAGCTGAACTTTATTGTATTTTATGTTTTCATGTCAACACCTGAAATAGCGAATTATTTTATTTGGGTTTTTTTTATGTTGGTCAATTTGACTTTTCCCTGAAATAGCGAATTATTTTATTTGGGCTTTTTCTATGTTTGACTTTTGATTGAACTAAATATTTTCTGTTTTTTAACCAGTATTGTGTACAATAACACATTCAAGTTCTCACTGTATTTTGTCTGTGAATGTTCAAGTCAGATATTGGAGATATTTAGTTAATTACATTCAATTTCTCCAATATTTGACTTCATTAAACATTAATTTATATTGTATTTGTGACATTACATATCAAATTTACAATGCATTCACGTGAATCTCAGGCCTTTGCCTTCATTCTGTTAATATTATGAGCCCCACTGGCCACAGGGCACATGATTCCCACAGACTGTGTCTTGACTCCGTGCCTTCATTCTGTTAATATTATGAGCACCACTGGTGTCTTGACTCTTCAGTTAAGCACCATCTGTTGCACTGATAGAACTTCAGTCAGCAGTTAGGCTTTAAAAGCACCGGGCAGTTCTCTTTTGCTTCTGTGAATTAATAATCAAAGTAAAAAAAAAAAAAAAAGGCAAAAAAAGGGAAACCTTAAAAAAAAAAAAAATCAATGCACCCATCAACAAGACTGGGTGTTTTGTATGTGTCTTCCCTCACCTGTACGGATACGAGAAGGTGAGGCGTGAGCCGTGTTGGGTCTGCTCGTCCGTCTACGTCCATACATGCATCAGCAGCTCCGTGGCAGCAAATAACATTTGCTTTAAGCGGAGCTGTCAGGCCGTACGTCTAAATCAGCAGAACCTGCGCGGAGATGGAGCACTCTTTTGGGTTTGCTCCTTCTAAGCGGCAGTTGTCTCCTCCAATCACTTTGCTCGTGCCTGCATTATTGATACTGCAGGGGGGCCTGAAGGGCCCGGCCGGACTCAGAGTGTGTGGTGAACACACTCTCAATGTTCTCCCACGTGTCTGGATCTTGTGGGAGATTTATGATAAGTTAGGACGAAACCAAAAGTATTTCTGAAGCTGAAGCCTTGAGCTGGCCTGATACTGCAGGTATGCAAGGCCTCGCCTTTGACTACTACGTATAGGAAGTAATACGAGGGTAAAGGTGTAGGACACGTTAACAGATGTGGGTTTGAATTTTGGGGGTTTATGATAAAGGAATGGATATAAACCTCCACTTTACAAGAGCAAATATCCGACTTTGAGCAAATAAATACATTTTATAGAATGAATGAGGTGTTTGAAAAAATGTGCAGTTAAAAAAACAGACCAGTTTTTTTTCCATTACCATCAACAATTCATGGTGACCACAGGGGCGTGACTGTGGAGTTTGTGTGTAAATATTTCAAATTGTAAGGCAATATTCATTCATAGATGTCATAAAGGAATTAGAAGTGTTGTTTACCTTGATGTGTTTTGATTTATGCTGCAGGCCCTGAGGTCATACCTGTGAATTAGAGAGCATCAATAAGGAAAACCCATCTCCCCTATCCCAAAAGTGATAATTACCAACATCATTATTGATCCGACTATCGATGCATTGCTAATTGTTTGGTGCAGTTATTTATTTCACTCCATCTCAGACCGGGCGAATACACTGACCTTGTGTGGGAGGAAGTGGAAGAGCAGCTCAGGAGAGGAAAAAACACTCATTAAGATTCCTGTTAAAACCTGAAATCAGCAAGGACTGGACTGATTTCCATCAAAGGCAGAAAGGTTGATGATGACATGTTGATGAGGATGAAGAGTACCCACACACACACACACACACAGAATGGCAAATTGGGCAGAGACGTCAGGTGATGCTAAGTTCTTCAGCGCAGCCTTGAGAAACTATGTTTTGAAAGTCTCCGTAGATAAAGCAGAATGTTGAAGGCACTCTAATGTTGATCATTTAAAAACATCTGATTATTATAAAAGTAAAAATTCATCAGTTGCTCTCTCTTTTTTACTATTTGAAGCATTTTAGATAAATAACAAAATTATTAAGTCTGTTTCTCTACACCACTATTTTACCACTAATTCCTGACTAATCGGCTGCTAAATCATTCAACTTTTTTTTTTATTTAAACCATCAAATTTAATCAAATTTAATACCACACAAACAGTTGAAGTGCTCTTTTGTGTCTTTCGTGAATGATGATCAGCTTAGATCACAGTTTCAAAGCCCAGCGGTGACTCATGGTCGTTCAGTAGGAAGTTCGACTTCTCACCCTGTGTGAGTGGGTTCTCTCTAGATCCTCTGGTTTCCTCCTACAGTCTGGTCAGTTATTACACTGTCTAAGCAACAAGTGAATGGTTGTTTGTCCTTCGTTCCTGGCCCTGCAAAGCACTGGTGTCAACTGTCACCCTGATCTACTGACTGCTGGGACTGTCTTCTGCTAACCCTGGACAGGATTAAGGCTTAGAAGATTAATAAATGAAGTGTATTGTTTCCATCACTACAGTAGTTGCAGAAGCACCAGACCTTCACAGACGCTGTGGTTGTGATGTCATCTTGACGAGGGCATACTTGGCAGAGGAGGTGAAGGAAGTTCTTTGCTTCAGTCTGGCTTTAAATTTTGTCCTAAATTTTGAAGGACCTGGATAAGAGACCTGAAAGATTCAGCTGCTGAAATCTTAAGTATATTAGAAAATATTTATATTTTATTAGACATAATGTGACAAATCATCACTTACGTGAAGTGTTTGTGCATTTTTTCAAATTTAAAAATGCATCAAGTGGGCTGAATGGAACCTCCTAATGGGCTGGTTTTGACTCGCAGGCCATTTGTTTGACAACCCTTATTTAGAAAAATGAACGTGTTCATTCATAAGCGGACGCATGTTAGGGCCAATCACAGTGTGTGTATGTGTGTGTGAAAGGGATGCACTCATCCATGTGGGACAGCTGGCTTTTACCGAAACATCTGGTACCTGTCACAACACGTACTTATGGGAACTCTTCATCGATGTGTCCTGCCCAGATCAGCCCACCCAGCAGGTACTGCCCAGACCTTTAGTCAGAGCTGGTGCAGAACATCAGGAAGGCCATGTCGGTGTTTAAAGCAAAGAGTGGGTCTGGCTCGTGTCCCAGCATGGTGCCGGAATGTCCTGGACAAGAGTCCAATCACATGTGAGGGGTTTTTGGACTTCAACCAAGAACGGGGCGGTAAAGTTAGCATAGATGTGACAGGGTTGGGTCTGAGGAGGGGTAGGTCTGAATGGTGACCCCAGAACCTTGATCACACAAAACCTACAATTAAGACTCAAATTATGGACAAGTGACACATTAGGTTGACTCTTTGAACACATGCACTTATTTGCAGTGGTTGTCTGTGTTGTTGAAGATTCAGAGATAATTGCAGTCTATTTATTCTCACCTTCTCTTCCTCCTGTCTCTCACTCTAACTCCCGCCCCTCCAGATTGTGAAGCCGAGCCTCTAGCAGTGTAGTGCTGAAGGTGTGTTTGTGCTGTTATGCCCTCTGGCTTGGCTGCCAGCTTACTCCCACTGATCTGAGCCAGAAGGCAGACTGCCGAGGAATACCGATCACCTTGCCCAGACCGAATCCTTTGAGCTCTCTCTGGCATCTTTCCCCCTTCTGCCAGTTTCCTCCACTGCTGCTCTCTTCCCCCTTCTGAAGTTGACAACAAAGACATCCTCAGGGTCCTCCTTGATGTGAGACCCACTCTTGATCTTTTTCCCTATGTTTTTGTACCTTATAGTTGCACTACTTTCATATTCTGCTAGCACAATATTTACACACCAGAAGACAACGAAACAGGGGTCTTTTCATGTAGGAACCCCTGCCAACATGTTAATCACCTGAGGACTTGCAGTGGTTATGTTGGCCCAGCAGAGGCAGGACATTAGTGAGACACCTCTACGCTTCACCTCTGGTTTGACCAGCATTGTCGTGTCTTCCGTGCTCTCTTTTCTCGCTATACATCTGCAGTATATACATCAGTGGGCACTGGGCTGTCACTAGAACAATCAGAGGATCATCGTTGGGTATCACTCCTCCTCACAGTCCTCCGCATCCTTCTGCCTCCTCTCCCTTTACCCCCACCCCACCCCTCTAGCCACGTACACTTCTCCACCAGCCCCCTGCTTACATGAAGAGAAATCTCTGAAGAGCTAATTAGGAGTTGGAATGGAGTCCAGGAACAGCCAACAGAGCTGAAGTAAGGAGATTGGCGCTGGTGATAGCTTTAACGGTCAGGCCCTGACAGAAGGGTGACAGTGAGTGGAGGCAAACCACCGTCTCACAACTGACAGAGACAATAAAGTGAGCCTCTGAGCCAGAGAGAAAAGAGTGACAGATAGGCAGTGGAGGGGAAAAAAATGAAAATGCTATAGGGCCTGTCCTGTGGCCCAGGAAAAATGTACAGTCCCAGTTAGTGAGGCAAGATTCCCCTGTCACTGCTAAAGTGTTATTCAGTCTATCATTGTAAAAGAGACTGAAAGGTAACTAATTTCCTGTCTTTGAGACATTACATATAATTTATGCAATAAAACATACAAGGTATTAATATCTTTTTTAAAATAAACAGAATGTACTGGAATACCATAGTATTCTATACAACAAGTAGAACTGGATAACTGGATTCTTTATCTTGTATAATGGGAAAAATATTTACACCTATCCATGGGTGTACTTTGTTTTAAAAGTTATGTTCAGAGGCAGAAACTTGTATTGTAAGTTTAATATTTGTGTTAATCCCTTTTTTTTTACCCGTTTTTATTATTAATTTCATTACCTTATATCTCACCGATATTTAATTAAACATTTATTCAACTTCTCGTAAACAATAAAAATAAAGAACAATACTGCCCAATTTGTCTTCTTCGTAAATTACCGATTTTTTTTGTTTTGTTTTTGTTATTATTTATTTCATCATAGTAGAACATCAACCGGTGTTTCGTCATACACGTATTAGCGCTGCCTTAGGTTGTTACTCGGAGATGATCGATCCGTATTTCGGTGCCGTTTATGTCGAAGCTTTGGTTGTAAATTGTTATGAATTATATACACATAGTCTATACCTTGAGCCAATACCTTGATTGTTATTGCGAAATAGAGCTGTGTTTATATCAAATTTGAATGTTGAAACTCATAAAGTTTATAAATCCGACGACGTTAAAGGCAGCATCGCAGGTGAAGTGATTTTAACGTTAGCACTGCGGTTGTTAGCCTAACACTTTCTTGAAAGAATACTTTAAAGTTTCAAATTACTTGTTTTAAGTAGTGATATATTGGAGATAAAGTCCTTTAGATTTAATTACTTTGAGTCGAGATAGAGGTTTGAACGGAGTGAGTCAACAGTCAGGACGACTTCGTTTTACTGAGGTAAATCCCTCTACACTTGTTTTAAAGGTTGGAGTTTAAAAGCTGCATTTTTATTGACTTGTGCTGCTTGTATTTTCTCCTGTCTTGTACTAATTATATGTCATTTGTTGCTCTTTGAATTATGTGTGTCCAAATTAAAGTTTTGCTTGCTTACATTACTGAAATGCTGTGGTTTCATTCATGGTCTGCTTTTGTTATTTTGGTCAAATGTGTTCATTGATTGTGGTTGAATGATGTTTAGAGTATTTGTTTTTCATTTATTTTTATGGTTGTTTTTATTGTTTTCATTTGTGAGACAAATGTCCTGGAAATATCATACATTGTATTTATTGTGAAGCTTGTGTTTCTTCCTGTGTGCCCCTTTAAGTTTAACATGGAGGTCAAATATGTTGCTGATACTTTGATCCCTTTAGAATTTTTTGTTTTTTCTTTGATTATTTTGAGTAAAAAGAAAGTTTAAAATGATTGTAAAGATTTTGACTTATCATCTTACAGAAGATTTTCGTCTGACCCGTGGAGACCTATTCTGCTACCTGACTATTCGGCGGCCTACACAGGATGACTTGTCTACAGTTCCCTACGATGAGCGTTGTAAGTAATGCTACCTTTTTTATTTTTATTTGTTTTGTTGTTTTTAAAAAAAAAATCTTTGGCTTGAAAATGTGAGGTATGTGCAGCACACAAATGCATTGCTGTTTGAACAACACAAATGTTGAGACATTTTTATCTGATTGCATATGACTGCTGTCATAAGAAGCTTGTGATCGGAAAGTTGTCGGTACAATTTACCCTTGCTCTCCATGACTGCCCTCCTGTTTCACAGATGGGTTAAATGAGGATGACACATTTTATGATTTTAAACTGTTCATGTTTAAAACTGTTCATGTTAAGCAGTTGGTGTGTTTTCTAACAAACTCGAATGTCATTGTTTTGTGTAGACACTACTTAGTATCTGCACTGTCCAATATCAGCCTGTTAGTCGGTGGCATCTGTACATGAATCATACATTGTCATATACAGTGCCATAAGTTCTTTTTTTAAACTTCAAAGTGAATTGAACTTCACAAAATTGACAAGACTGTAAAGAAGTGACTCAAAAGCTAAAGGAAAAGTTATTCAATTTCCTAAACTATGTGATAAGTACTCCTCTTATTCTTCAGACCTCTACTCCCAAACCAGCAAATGACTTGGACATTTTTTCTAGGACTGCGGTATTGTTCAGAACTTTCTAACAAAGCCCGTTTAATAAACATACTTACTTAGTGTTAACGTTGTTTTTCTTTTTCTACCTGAGGGGATATTATTGGTTAAATACTGCAGTCTTTTCCCCTACACTCCCACACTACTACTGTTACCTCTCAGCCAGGTTTTACTCTTTATATACAGCACACAAGTCTATTCCACTTAAACAGATCATAACAGTGTTTTCTAATAGGAGACAGAAGGGATAACGAGTAGCAGCTTGAAAAGTCTCGGCGAAGAACACACACGAGTTTCTCCCTGGCAGGTATCAGAAATGGTTTAAGAGTAAGAAGGATTCTAACATAAGAACAAAAGATTCTAATGATGTTTGCTCCACTATACCTTTGCTAACATGGCCTGAGTGTTGGCAAAGGTCAGAGAGGTGGCATTATAATTTTATGATGATCATTTATTTATTTTGTCAAGTAAATCCAATCAGAATGCCTTGGAGCTACCCGGATAGCAAACAGGGATAATTAGCATCACTGGGAGAGGTGGTGTCTCCTTGTACTCTGGCCTCCACTCTCTTTTATCTGTTGTAGGTGGTGGGGAAGCTAAATATTGATGTAGCTGCCCATACTCACTGAAACTCAAACCACACTGTCCAGCTCTGTGAAGGGCTGTGTTTCAATGCTGGACTCACTTCTCTCTCACACACTGGGGAAGTTAACTAGCAGTCAGTTTTACTTTGTTTTGTATCCTTTGCCAATAAAAGTGTTATGTGTAATTTAACTCAAACTTATTTGTATATGTTGGAATAGGTTCAGCTGTTGTTAGTTGCCAAAAGTTTTTCACACTTGGTCCACTTGCTGTGAGCTCCCTCAAGGGAATCTTCCTGGAGTTCAGTGTGAAGTCAAAGACTCTTGTATGTCCTGAGAACTTCTGCCCAAAGAACAAGTTGTTTTTACCATCAGTATGTGTGTGTGAGTGTGTGTGTACTTTTCCAGGCAGTTGGATCTTTACTTAAATTTCGATTTAACAATGTAATTGTCAAATCCTTAAGTTTTTGAGTAGACTTGGGATTACTTCTTTAAACTGAAAATATTTCAAATCCTGACATATTGGTTGGTTTAACTCAGAGAAACTGAGTAAAACAACAAGAAAAAAATTTCAAGCCCATGGAAATTAGACTAAAAATGAAAAAAAAAAAAAAAGTCTGCCTCATCTGGTTGAGGTAAAAGGTCCAAAAGTTTGTAATTCACATTCATTTTTTTAAAACATATTTCATAAGAGCTCTAGAGTGAACATTTAATTTTTGTGACTGAAAAAGTCTAAATGGTTAAAAGGTGTAATTTCTCAGTGGTGCAGTTGCAGTGTTTAGTTATCTCAAGTGTAGATGGTGCCCTCTTGTGGTCATGGATGATATGGATTATGTTTTTGATGTATAAGTCGCTTCAGAATACAAGTCCCCTGGACCAGACAAACTACTGATAAGTGTGACTTGTAGTCCAAGTAATATGGTAAAATGTAATTAGTGCAGATGATGCAGTGCCCCTGAGGAACTGTGATTTTTATTTTTTTTTATTTTGTTTGAAATAAATTTGAATAACAAGTGAGAGCTGTGTGAACTTAACTGAAATGCTTCTTGGCATTACAGTTACATCATTTAGAGAACTGATTGACACTATGAAAAGCATCCATTATGATCTACGTCTCCTCTCATTGTTGCGTGCTGTTTTCTAAGATGCTAATCATAAAGCCTATTAAGCCCTTAGGGCACTTCTAAAGGTACGCCGAGCTGCAGTATTGATCAGAGATTGTCTCCAGAGCGATGGAGGTCAATCTAAATTGCCCATGTTTGCTTATGATTATTTAGAAAACCAAAAGCCCAGAAATGAACAACTGGCAAAGTAGATCAAATGTGAACAAACTGGAAAACGATTTTTTTCCCCTCTAAACTGTTGTTGTCCAAATCGAGCATGTCATATGAAATCCCGTCCTTTACAGAGTCTTCTGGGTAATGAAACTGTCCTGTTTTTGTGCTTTACTGTTGCTTAACACATTGTGTGTATACCTTGGGGTATGCTGAATTATTAATAGGGCCTTAATGATAACTGATGTCCCAGATATATGAATGACCTTAAAAAGATTGATCTTTTTTGATGCTGTTTGGTGCTTTGAACTAAATCTTACCCCTGTTGACCTTGGTGGACTGATCGAGTGCCAAATTAAACCAGAAACTAGTGACAATGAGATGTCAGATGAATTCTGTGTATCCTGGTAATTATCTCCATCAGAGCAGTATCTTATAAAAGGATTGTTTGCATAACATTTATCTTTTATCTTAACTTTTTTCTTCAGTTGGTTACATATCGTATTGACACAGTGATCGTTCCTATAATGGGGAAATGTCAAGTAACCTGAGTAAAGTGGAAATAAGAAGAAGCAAAAGAAAAACCTTTTAAAATATTATAAATATATATTATTGATATACATTTTTGGTCTGGTTTTACAAATTGCCGAAGGCACCATGTTAATGCTAAATTGTGAAGGAAGTCTCCCGATATGATAAAACACAACTTGCGGACGGTTGAGGTTGAAAAGTTGTACGACATAAATGTAACACAAGGTGTGTTTAAAAATATATAAACCTACGGCTGATGAGATGAGACGACCAATATTTATGCTTTCATTCATCCTTGGATCAGTGATTATTACCAAGTTTATTCAGAGTCAATACTTGAAAAGTGACTTTAAATTCATAACGTGCCTAATATATACAAGTTGGGGAAAAACATGCAGAGAACTGTCAAGGTTTTTTCTTTTTAAAGGTTTACTTAGCAGGAGTAATGGATGCGATATGTCAATTTTACAGCTTATAAGCCCTGTGTGTCCCTGGAGGGCTGCCATAGCCTCTGGCCATTTTCCTTTTACCTTAGGCATCATCTGGAAGGAAAAAAAAACTGATGCTACTAGTCATTCTGCATCCCTGCAACTGTCTAAAAATAATTGGCCAGAACCTTTACCCTGAAAAGAACCCATGAAAGACATAGTTTTGGAGAGAACCAGTTATAACTGACGGTTTTCGTTTAAAACTCCAAACGTACAGACCTACACCAAACTTCCTTCGTAGTTTAAAACAAGTCTTTTTTAATGATCACAGGAAAACACATTATGGCCTCATCCCAGAACCGAATCGTTGCTCTTATACACAGTCGATACACACTTGATATTTAAACACACTGCATGAAGTTTTCGTTAGCTTTGAACCCAGTGAAGTCCACTAGCTTTTTAAAACCCAATTTTCAGTTTTTACGTACTTTGTCTTGACAATTTTCCAAATCAACATCCTTCATTTCCATCATTTGGATTAGTCTCAAAGAAAACAGATGTGAAACATCTACCCACTCTTATTAATATATATATAGAATATAAGGTTTTTCTCGCATTTAATTCACAACTAACCCAGGTTTAATCAGGTTTAAAATGTTAATATTGTGACCCAGAGTTTAGTTGCGATGTGTTCATAAGAAACATCAAATGTGTTTAGTGTATAAAACTTAAACCTTTAGACTTCAGCCCAATGGCCACAAAGGGGGC